ACTCCACCACTAACACTACTGCCACTACTACTGCCATTACCTCTCCTTCACCCCTGCCACTCCATCTACACTACCACTACCACAACTTTACCACTAATATTTTTTGCCCATCACCACCACCACCACCACCATCATCTCTTATCCACCACCTCCACCACTAATGTCGCTCCCTTTCCTCTACCACAAAAAAAATAGTTCAAGATTTTTACTAACCAAAAAAAATAGGTCGTAGAAAAATATTTTTCATTGACCACAGAAAATAAACTTTTATTTTAGTGGAAAATATTTTTCATTAAAATATTACCCCTACTTCTACCAAATAAAAAATAATAATAATATTTTTTTTAATTAAAATAAAAATGAAACAAATAAATTTTCAATCTTAGTAACTAAAAAAAAAATGAAATTTTTTTCATTAACTACAAAAAAAATTTATTTTAACAAAAAATAAAATTTTTTAACGACAGCAACCCGCGTCACCAAAAAAAAAAAAAAAAGAATTAAACGATATTATTTTATTGTTTAAATTTTATTTGTGACCCCCCAAAAAAAGAAGAATCACCCTCTCACCTCTCGTTGTTCATCTCATCGCACCGATCATCATCGCACAGCCGATCTACCACTACAACAAAAAAGGTCTTTAGTGACGAAAACGCATGACGAAAAATAATTTCGTCTCTAAATATACATGTTTTAGAGATAAAAGTAAGATTTCGTCTCCAATTATAATATTTTCAGAGAGAAAAACTAAATTTCGTTATCAAATACTTAAAATCAATAAAACAATAGGTAACGAAAATTTTATTCGTCTCTATATTTTATTTTTCGTGGCAAAAAAATTCCCGCCCTTGTAAAATTTCGGGGAATATTTGGGTGTCATTTCAGAGACGAAAATTTTCGTCACCATTGTACAAAATTTTTTGCAAGGAAATAATTCCGTCTCCTATAATTTTATTATATAAAATGACGTCGTTTTTTGCGACAACTTTTTCTTCCCGTCACAAATAGTTTTTTTTTTTTTTTGGCATTAAAAAAAAAAGGGGCTCCTTCTGAAACCCTTGGTGCCCAAAATTCCCAAATTTCATCAAATCCCCCTATGATTTTTCTTTTCCCCCCTATCTCATTTTCACGCTCCACGCTCAACTCTCTCTCTGTCTCTCTCTCTCCATCTACATCTTCCATCTTCGGGAGACTCAGAATCACCTCTTTATTTGCTAGTAGGTAAAACCCCTCATCTCTCTCCATGATTTTCACCCTTGCATAGCTGTTCTCTTTCGATTTGTAGTTCTCTCTTTCTCTCTCTCACAATCGCTTGTCTGCATTTTTTTTTTTTTTTGTTGTCTAGGGTTTTTGGAATTTATTTTCAATTGTTGCACTATAATTCAAGGTATACAATCTGATTTTGAATTAGTGTTACCAAATAATTTTAAAGCCATTCAAAATTTTCAACTATGGTTTTGTATCTCCATATCCAATGGATTTTTTATTTCTGATTCTATATCTAAAATTAGTTTATAAACTCTCTCAATATGGAAGAATAAAGAATGAAAAGTGAAGAATAAGGAATAAAACCCTTCAAAGTTTCAAAACCCTAACCCTAACTTAATTTAATCTAAGGATATATCATCTACTTCCTTATGTTGGCAAATTTGAATTGCTTGAAATCTTGTGGGATACAAGGCAATAATTCTCACTTCTTTTCTTTTCAAGGAATGTTGATAGAACATTGCCTTGGAATTAATTAGGTTTTGCAAAGAAGTTGAGAAAGAGCTGTTAATTATAGGGAGTTAATTTATGCCCATACTAGTTCAAAAAAATAAAATAAAAAAATCATGCCCATACAAAAATTTACCAATAAAAGGCAATGAATTGAAGGTTGTTTTATAAATTTGGTTTTTATTTTGAGAAGAACCACAATCTGATTTTTATTTTATTTTTTTTAAATTAGGTTTCTTTTGGTTGTGTTTATATACGTATGCATATATATATATATATATATATATATAACTATCTATAAAAGAAGCAAAACTTGAGTCTAACAACAGTTCATCTAAGAAAGAGGAAATTGCGAAATCACCCTCATTGAAGATTGCTAGGGAAGCTATGATGACACTGGCTGACCTCTATTCTGTGCTTCTCCAGCAAGCTCTTCATCAATTCCAGGCACCTGTGCCCTTACAGATTAGGTGGTGTGCTTTTCACCCAAGCTTGTTTCTCAAGTCGTGAGATATTAAGAGGTGTAAATTGTTTAATTTGTTTTCTGCAAATTACTCTCAAGTTTATCAAAGAAATTGTTCAATTTCTTACAATGAATGTTCGTTTGAGTGTTGTATCTTCTTTTATTCTGCAGTTTGCATTTGGGCTGAACTCTGTATGCTTTTTTCTTTCACAAACCAGCTGCAAATCCAAACAATCTGGTATGTAATTTTTTGGTTTGCTGTTTCTTTGTCTTCTATGGAGATGTCAATACTTGATTTCTATACTTTTGTATTAGATTGATGCTTGTTATTACCCCAATTCTATTTAATATTTGGCTCAGCCTATGTATTGTCATTGTTTTGTTGTTTTGCTAGAATTTTATCTTTTGCTCACCATGTATTTGATAATTTGCCTAAACCAATAATAACATACTTTCATTGATTGTTTACTGTTATTGATTAGGAAAAACAACTTATTGTTTATTAGTTTGTTTTCCTTGCCTGCAATATTTCTTACCACTCTTAATCAACAATATGATATCATTGGACTTTCCCTTTTGGTTCAAAATTTTAACCGATTTTCAATAAACCTTTATTAACTACTTAATCTAATCAATACAATGACTAAGTTCAATGTTTCTTGTAGAGATGGGCCTGCTTAAATGCCTAGGCCAAGTCTAACAAAATTGTGCAGGTACTCTGATACCGGACCTTATTATTCTCATCTCTTTGGAGTTTTTATTATCTGCTCTGTTTTTATTATGGATGGGGTGCTTCTATTTACACCCGAAAAGCAATTCTTTACACCCCCCATTTAACCATGTACACTCAAAATCAGAAACACTAACCTTTATATAGCATTTTTATTTTTCTGTTAATATTTTTAAAAATATTTTAATAACAATTTAAACTGATATCCTTTTTGAAAACTGTCTGGAAACTGATATCCTTTCTGAAAATTGTCTATAAATAGATGAACTATTGTTCCCTCAAAACATTCACTTCTTTTGAATATTGCATCACATGTTCACATGCAAAGATCTACAATATATAAAAAAATAAATAAAAAAGAAAAGAGAGAAAGATCTACAAGATTGATGATAAGACATGAAATTGATATAAGTATGATAGATTTGCTGCATCTTATACATAATTTGTCAAGACCTGCTCAAGGCATGTTGTTCTGTTGGTTGTTTGATTGGATTATATTATTGACTAATAACTATAAATATCTTGATCATGTGCACAGGTGGCGAGTGTGTTTTTGGGTATCTGCCATTCTCTAGGGTTTTTGGAATTTATTTTCAATTGTTGCACTATAATTCAAGGTATACAATCTGATTTTGAATTAGTGTTACCAAATAATTTTAAAGCCATTCAAAATTTTCAACTATGGTTTTGTATCTCCATATCCAATGGATTTTTTATTTCTGATTCTATATCTAAAATTAGTTTATAAACTCTCTCAATATGGAAGAATAAAGAATGAAAAGTGAAGAATAAGGAATAAAACCCTTCAAAGTTTCAAAACCCTAACCCTAACTTAATTTAATCTAAGGATATATCATCTACTTCCTTATGTTGGCAAATTTGAATTGCTTGAAATCTTGTGGGATACAAGGCAATAATTCTCACTTCTTTTCTTTTCAAGGAATGTTGATAGAACATTGCCTTGGAATTAATTAGGTTTTGCAAAGAAGTTGAGAAAGAGCTGTTAATTATAGGGAGTTAATTTATGCCCATACTAGTTCAAAAAAATAAAATAAAAAAATCATGCCCATACAAAAATTTACCAATAAAAGGCAATGAATTGAAGGTTGTTTTATAAATTTGGTTTTTATTTTGAGAAGAACCACAATCTGATTTTTATTTTATTTTTTTTAAATTAGGTTTCTTTTGGTTGTGTTTATATACGTATGCATATATATATATATATATATATATATAACTATCTATAAAAGAAGCAAAACTTGAGTCTAACAACAGTTCATCTAAGAAAGAGGAAATTGCGAAATCACCCTCATTGAAGATTGCTAGGGAAGCTATGATGACACTGGCTGACCTCTATTCTGTGCTTCTCCAGCAAGCTCTTCATCAATTCCAGCCACCTGTGCCCTTACAGATTAAGTGGTGTGCTTTTCACCCAAGCTTGTTTCTCAAGTCGTGAGATATTAAGAGGTGTAAATTGTTTAATTTGTTTTCTGCAAATTACTCTCAAGTTTATCAAAGAAATTGTTCAATTTCTTACAATGAATGTTCGTTTGAGTGTTATATCTTCTTTTATTCTGCAGTTTGCATTTGGGCTGAACTCTGTATGCTTTTTTCTTTCACAAACCAGCTGCAAATCCAAACAATCTGGTATGTAATTTTTTGGTTTGCTGTTTCTTTGTCTTCTATGGAGATGTCAATACTTGATTTCTATGCTTTTGTATTAGATTGATGCTTGTTATTACCCCAATTCTATTTAATATTTGGCTCAGCCTATGTATTGTCATTGTTTTGTTGTTTTGCTAGAATTTTATCTTCTGCTCACCATGTATTTGATAATATGCCTAAACCAATAATAGCATACTTTCATTGATTGTTTATTGTTATTGATTAGGAAAAACAACTTATTGTTTATTAGTTTGTTTTCCTTGTCTGCAATATTTCTTACCACTCTTAATCAACAATATGATATCATTGGACTTTCCCTTTTGGTTCAAAATTTTAAACGATTTTCAATAAACCTTTATTAACTACTTAATCTAATCAATACAATGACTAAGTTCAATGTTTCTTGCAGAGATGGGCCTGCTTAAATGCCTAGGCCAAGTCTAACAAAATTGTGCAGGTACTATGAGACCGGACCTTATTATTCTCATCTCTTTGGAGTTTTTATTATCTGCTCTGTTTTTATTATGGATGGGGTGCTTCTATTTACACCCGAAAAGCAATTCTTTACACCCCTCATTTAACCATGTACACTCAAAATCAGAAACACTAACCTTTATATATCATTTTTATTTTTCTGTTAATATTTTTAAAAATATTTTAATAACAATTTAAACTGATATCCTTTCTGAAAACTGTCTGGAAACTGATATCCTTTCTGAAAATTGTCTATAAATAGAGGAACTATTGTTCCCTCAAAACATTCACTTCTTTTGAATATTGCATCACATGTTCACATGCAAAGATCTACAATATATAAAAAAATAAATAAAAAAGAAAAAGAGTAAAAGATCTACAAGATTGATGATAAGACATGAAATTGATATAAGTATGATAGATTTGCTGCATCTTATACATAATTTGTCAGATACATTCTTTATTTAATTACATGCATAATGCATTGCATGACCTGCGGTCACTATCTAACAACAAATTTAGATTTCATGCCAATGGCACATTTAAAGGGATTTGTAAGGACAAATTTCCTGCTGCAGTACTTGCTGTTTTAATGGAATTCTGTGCAGAGAGTCCTCATTGGCTTTTTAAGGTTAGTTGCTCTCGTGTGTCCACCACATTTAGTTTCTTGTGCTTGAATGCAATATTGATACTCCATATTGCATAAGGCTCTTGACAATTTTGATTTGTATTGATCTAGACATAAATCCATTCCAAATCCAAATTTGGTTATCTATGCTATAGGGGAGCAACATAATGTGTTCCTACTGACTTATGTGCCCATACCTTACATTCATGATACCAACTGCTGCGCATAAATCTATTATAGATAATATATTTAATCTGATCTTCATGTAGAATGGAGTTTGATTTGCAAGTGATTAAATTTCATGATCTGTATCTGGACTTGAATAACTAGTTTAGTAGTCTGTTCAATATATAACTATTCTCAGATTAGGATCCTATTAGGATTGGGTTCTCAGGTGGGCTTTAAACAGCACTATGTTGAGACATTGCACAATTATTTTTTACCTCAGACTGCCTTCCATAGAAATATTATTTTTTGTGCTTGCAAACTATGTATAACTTGACTCAAATATTCCATGAAGAGCTGAAATATCTGCAGAATGCAGTGTTTAGAGATATTCAATTGTAAACATATTCCACTATTTTTTTTGTTGTTTTAAGTCCTATGAACTTGTTTTAGGTAACTAAATCCTTTGAATTTGTTCCATTTTGGTAAATGAAAATTGGGTTTTGAATCTTTAGCACAATTGAAATATTCAGAATAGATCCAGAACTTAATTGATTTCTGTCTTTAATGTTTTCAATCCCTGTGAGTTTCTTGCTTTCCACTCTTGACCTTTGATCTGCTTGGTGCAATTGTTCATTTCCCCTTGAAGATGCTTCTTTCCTTTCTCCAATCAGTTACAATTTTGAATCAAATTGCTGATCAATTACCATGATTCCACATTGGTGCATTATTACTTTTTCTTAGAGCTCAAAAATATTTCATTGTCCCTTTCTTCATTGATTTTCACTTAAAATTGTTGCTTGGCTTAGCTCAGAGAGGAAGAATTGCTGAAGCTGAGATTGAATTTGAGAAGCTTTTAGGAGGATCACATTTCAAATCTGCAGTGTCAGAGTTGTCAAAATCGGACAGAGGGGATGAGGCAGATGCTTTAAAATTTTCAGAATTATTCTATGGCCGCCACTTTAAAGGTACATATGCTCATTAATTACACTATCATTTTTTTAAAAATTTATTTTATTTTATTTTATAATTATCATTTGTTCAGCATGATGTTTATTTGTTTCCTTTTTAAATGATATATTAATCACTTCTTTTCCAGTTGTTTTTATTGGGTCTACCCTTTTTGCTTTGCAACAATTATCCGGTATAAATGCTGTGTTCTATTTCTCTTCTGCCGTCTTTAGAAGTGTAGGAGTACCTTCAGACATTGCAAACATATGTGTCGGAATTGCAAATTTATCAGGTAATGTGTCTTTACTCTCAAGTATCTCATGCATTTTAAAACTCTAGTTAACTATTTCTTTATCAGTTTTTTTTTGGTTACTTATGTAGGATCAGTTATTGCTATGATTTTAATGGATAAACTAGGAAGGATCAGTTATTCCTTATGAGTGAACACAAATAATGCTCAAGTTTGTAGTCAATGTTTCTAGTGACCTTCAGCAATTCGTAATATAATTCCCCTTGTTTATGTCAAGTTCTTCTTTAGCCATCCTATAATTTTTAATAATTTTAGAATTATACATATCATTCATGGTTCTGTTAACATTTGTTGTTATGCATAAGGGGTTTTGTCTAGTTCTACTCTGTGATGCTTATTCCCATTTTTTTATTTGTTACCTTCCCCAAGTAAGTATGTGAGAGTTAGTTAACTAACTCCAAAATCCTATTTGTTCAGAATGATGAATAAATTATGGGCTCGTTTTATCGAGTATAGACCTTAATCTTGTTCGAGAATTTTCATCAGCGTTGGATATCACAACTTTCATCTTATTTTTTAATTGACTTTATTGTATTTTCTAGATGGATGATGATCATTATTCAGAATATGTTGTTTCTAGCATTTCAATATCTAATGATTATCTTATGAAAATCCTGATAATGGAAGGGACTCAGTTTATTGGTGTGTTTTTGTTGGGACTTCTTGTAAAAGAAGGCCACCAGGTATCAACCCTTCTCTTTACATTTTAACGTTTACATGTACTGATTTTCTTTTCCCAATTGTTTTAACTTTCTTAACCATCTTTTCCACCTTATGGTGTGCAATTAAAATTGGGTTGACAAATTCCTACACAGATTTATATTTGATGACGTCTTTGACTTTTTAATAAATAAGTTTCATCTATCAATTAGTCAATTCAATGGATATATATATTGTAGATCTATAAATAACACAATAAGTAGTTCACATTTTTGTTCTATTGGTCTGCACATTGTCATGGATGCAGGTTTTTTATAGGTTGATTCTTCATCTTCTTCTTCATTTTTTGCAGATTTCTGCTACTTTGAAGACATCGATTGGTTAATTCACTCTCTATCAAGGTTTTCTCTATCCTTCAAGTAGTATTGAGTTTTTAATACAGATTGTAGCCAAAAATTAGTTTTAATGTTGAATTAATAAAATTAATTTAACAGATTCTGTTTGACTTTTGTTTACTTCATCCTTTTGATGTGAATTTTAATTATAGGTATTTCTCGATCCGTTTGATGTGAATTTTAATCTAACTCAGGTTTGTTAAGGGAACCAGACCATATATGTTCCCTATTCTGTGTTGGCTAGAACATCTTGGGGGAGAGGTGAAGATCCTTGACAAGGATCTGATATTGGTTAAACTTCACTCATTTCCTCACCTGCAGAATTTTCTTCTTCAGGCTATGTCTCTTAACTGTTATCTCCATTTTTTTGTTTGCCCCAGGTATGCATTAGATGATATTGGTTCTGGATCTCATGTGCATCTCAGTTTGTGTCAGAGTTGAACCCATATGAATAGGTAGTTTGGTACTAACAGAGAAGTATGCATTTTTACCAGTGCTGTTAAAATATCTTGTCTACATAGAATTATTTTTTAAGCATGCAGTTATATTTGGAAATTTGATGGGTGTACTATTGATCTTGAGGAAAACCTTTCATGGTGATGTTTCCATCGATGGGTGTACCAATTTGTAATTATTCAGGCTATGTGGTTTCTGCTTTTAAGACCAATAAGCTTTATTGATCCTTATTTGTTTTATAGTTTTTAGTGAGTTATATGTTGATATCATATGATTTTGATTGTCCATATAATACCTCATTTTATCATTTATGTGATCCTTTCTGCATTGTTGCATATTGTCAAATGTTTTTAATCACACTTAAAAGGTGTGATCTAAATGTTTTTAATCACACTTAAAAGGTGTGATCTAAATGTTTTTAATCACACTTAAAAGGTGTGATCTAAATGTTTTTAATCACACTTAAAAGGTGTGATCTAAATGTTTTTAATCACACTTAAAAGGTGTGATCTAAATGTTTTTAATCACACTTAAAAGGTGTGATCTAAATGTTTTTAATCACACTTAAAAGGTGTGATCTAAATGTTTTTAATCACACTTAAAAGGTGTGATCTAAATGTTTTTAATCACACTTAAAAGGTGTGATCTAAATGTTTTTAATCACACTTAAAAGGTGTGATCTAAATGTTTTTAATCACACTTAAAAGGTGTGATCTAAATGTTTTTAATCACACTTAAAAGGTGTGATCTAAATGTTTTTAATCACACTTAAAAGGTGTGATCTAAATGTTTTTAATCACACTTAAAAGGTGTGATCTAAATGTTTTTAATCACACTTAAAAGGTGTGATCTAAATGTTTTTAATCACACTTAAAAGGTGTGATCTAAATGTTTTTAATCACACTTAAAAGGTGTGATCTAAATGTTTTTAATCACACTTAAAAGGTGTGATCTAAATGTTTTTAATCACACTTAAAAGGTGTGATCTAAATGTTTTTAATCACACTTAAAAGGTGTGATCTAAATGTTTTTAATCACACTTAAAAGGTGTGATCTAAATGTTTTTAATCATACTTAAAAGGTGTGATCTAAATATTATTAATCACACTTAAAAGGTGTGATGAAAGCATTTTTTAATGACACTTAAAAAGTGTGATTAAAAATGACCATTTTTAATCACACTCCTAAAGACCACACTTTAATAAAACTTAAAAGGTGTGATTAAAAAACATACATCACACCAAAAAAGTGTGATCTTTATCTATATTTGTAGTAGTGTAGGGGGCCTTAGTCAATGAAGATTTTTTTTAGACCTCTAGATAATTGAATTTTTTTAAGGAGAAATATCAAGTAAGTCCTATTTTTTCAAGAAAATTTCTATTGAGTACCCACATTAGTCAACCCTCTCAAGCACATGAATTAACACAAGTTGAGAGGATTGATTCAGGTGTTAACAAGACCAAATAAAATTTTCATTCAAAAAAGTAGGACTTATTGATTTTTCTTTAATACTCTTGAAATGTGCTCGCATGATTTTTTTTTAAAAGAAAAAATCAAGGCGCTCATGTTTACACTGCTAAATTTTTCTTTAATATTCTTGAAAAAGTAGACTAATTGATTTTTCTTTACACCACTAATTTTCACTCAAATTTTATTTCACTAGTTCATATTTTAATTTTTATTTAAATTATAAACAGTTTGATGACAGAAAAATTTTATTGAAACTCAGGTCAGAGTCTAAGGACTCAATTATTAAAATTAAAAGGTGAGGAATTAAAGTGAAATTTAAGTATAATTTATCCTAAATTATTTTTATAAATTATATATAAAAAAAAAGAAAGAAAGAAGAAGAAGAATAAGAAGAAGAAGTGACAAATTCTCAAAACATGACTGACATCAATGTCTCAACACTAAAATAAATAAAAGAAATCCTATGAGGTCACTTAGCAGTGGGCAACGAACTTCCTCTTTTAGAGATCCAACTGCTCACGCCTTGGTAAATGCCAAGCATGCCTAATATATTAAGGAAAATGAGTGGGTGTTTTAATTAGAGCTACTACTAATGATGTGGTAAATAAATAAAAGAAATCCTATGAGGTCACTTAGCAGTGGGCAACGAACTTCCTCTTTTAGAGATCCAACTGCTCACGCCTTGGTAAATGCCAAGCATGCCTAATATATTAAGGAAAATGAATGAGTGTTTTAATTAGAGCTGCTATTAATGATGTGGTAGTGGATTTTATTTACTGTCACAGTATGTGTTTTGTGTTTTTTTTTTTTCACCTCTTTAATAGTGGGTTTAGAGTTACTAAATTAGTAGTCTCTAGCATGATTGATATATTAAAGTCTAAAAATATATGACTCATAGCATGTCATAGAATAAATCTTTTTTCGTTAGTTTAATATAACAATAATACTATATTTATTATATTTTTATACTATACTATATAATGGTTATTCACTTGTTTGTTAACACAAAATTACGGTAATAAATTCCACCACTCATGTATATCTTCAATGTATTGTTGAAAACTAGACTGATACATTAAATGATAGTAAAAATGTCAAAAGTTGATGACCATTTCAGTAACAAATTAAGAATTACAATAAAATAGATGATGAATTATATAAGAAAGTTCCAACATTACATATTCATAAATGGAGAAAAAATAAACCATTAAATCAAAACTCTTGTCAATGATTGAATCCTTGATCTCTCAAAAGAAAAATTATTGCAGTGACCAACTAAATTAATACAGTTAATTCTGAAGTAGCTTTGATAATAAGTTAAAAGCTATATTATTTTACCCATTAAAATTTATTTGTTAAAAAAATTATACGCTTAATTTATTAAGAATTTCTCCAGCAAAAAAAAAAAAAAAAAAAAAAATTATTAGAAACTTTTTGTGAGGGGTATGGATGGATGTATATATGGTATCCCCCATTGGCTCCTCTGTTTTCTCTTTCCTTGATTATCTGTGAAGCAAGTGGTATCACATGATTAACGTTCCCTCTCTTTGACATTTTTTTTTTACTCTCATTTTTTTCTTTATATTATCATGGCTGCTCAATTTCCTCTCTTCTGAAAATAAATAAATTTGAGAAAATTTCACTTTATCTTCCAAATATTCTTCAAAAATCAATTACGCTTTTGTACTTTTAATTATAGTAATTTTACATTTAAACTATTCAAATTAGAATTAATTTTACTCATGTTATCACTTGTCTATAATTAAACGGAAATTTCTGACTTAGCCTCATAATTTTTTTTAAAAAAATATATTTAGTACATATGTTTTAAAAATTACTTTTACTAAATTCATTGAACATCTTTGAGGTTTAAAAAAAATATTTACTTTTAGTGAAGGATAAATTACATTGACTAATTAAATCTCACAAGTTTGATATAATTATCTAAATCTTCCTTTTAGTAAGATTAAAATGAAAAGAACTAATATATATAAATATAATGTGAAAAGACAAGAATGAATAAGATAAAATATCCATTTTGATATTTGTGTGAGTGATTTTTCGATCACACTGCCCAACTCAGTATTCAGTTGGAGAGCACTGACAGAATAGATGATACCTGGCTGACCTGCAACAGAAAGAGAAGATTCCGGCGGTGGTTCGTCCACCCGGGGGCACGCCGACGATCAAGTCAGTATATCTTTCAAAGATAATCAATAGTGCTAAACTCACTGTTCATAATATAAACTGCGTACCTTAAACTCATCGGGGATGCCTCTCTTTTATAGTTAACTCAATCCTTGTCCCATTAGAAGCCTAGCTTCAATGGACTCTCGTTCAGTGCTTATCCTGGACTCTTCAAGAGATAAAGATAAACTCCCTGAGAGTGTTATCCTTATCCATGCTAAAGTCCTTCCTTATTCTAGGACTCTTGTCCCTTATCCGCTTATCTCGGATTCCGATATCTTCGGAGATCACCTCGGCCTTGCCGTGATAACCTCGGCGTCATAACCTGGACACGTGGCACCTCGGCTGACACGTCGGCGTCACCTTGGCCACGTGTTGGGACTCAGAAAATATATCACCTCGGCTGACACGTCGGCGTCACCTTAGCCATGTGTTGGTACTTCAGAAAATATATCCCCACAACGGCCCCCTAAGTTCTATTACCTCGGCATTCTGAGATGATGGAACCTATATCGGTACTTCCTGCCAGTATATCGGCTTAAGCCGAGTTCATCACTATAGGCCGACATGTCTTCTTAAAGATCAAGAATTCCAAGAGCTCTTATCACGCATATGAGCTGTCGTGCACAACAACTCAACCATTTCTAGCCATGTACTTTCCTCTTACTGGATCGTGCTTGTGACGTGCTTCTAAATCGTCTCGCGCATGCGTGCGCCGTCTGACTCTCACGTTGTTTTAGGCACATTAATTTCGTTTGCCGCCGTTTCAAGTTTTAACAAAAACTTTTTTCTCTCTTTTTGTCGTTTCACTTTTTTGTTCAATCCTTTAACTTTTTCTCTTTCTAGCTCTTTTCCTCAAATCCGTCATTGCTCAAGCTTTCTGAGTTCTGTAACTTGCTTCGTTCACCACCTCCGGCGTGATTTCCACCGATCTTCTGCCTTTGCAACCGTCGCTAGACTTCGGCAAATCCCATTCCGGCTTCCCTCTTTCTGGTAAGCCACTGTTCCTCTTGGTTCTTATTTCTTGTTGCTTTTCAAGAAATTCTGCTTCATCATTAGTTTCCATTGCTATTTTACTCAAGAAATTGATTTATGAATCATGTATTTGAGTGTGTTTATTTCACGATTTTGCTCTTGCTCACGTCTTGAATGCACACACTGTTCACAACTCTTCTGCACTTTTGCCATTGTTTTTGATAATCCATCTTTGTTCTTGATTCTGAAGCACATTCTTGCTTTTCTGTTTTCCAGATTTTTGCGCCTTGAATCTTCATTTTCATAGATCTAGGTTTGGGAT